CAGTATAGCCAATATTGTAAATAGTGCAAGTATAGTGAATATTGTTAGTAGTATTTAGTTTCAGTAGTGTTTAGTACTGTAAACATTTAATATATGTCTGTAAGGCAAAAAATAAATAAAATAAAATAAAAAAAAAAAAATCTATTTCATGGGTTATTGAAATCACCCTTGTAGACACACAGTTTCATGTTATTCGGTTATAGTTTCTTCTTTATTACCAACTCTTATAAATTGAACTGTGTATTTCACTAATTCAAACTAAGAAAGACAGTTGGGCCACAAAGCATCTTTATATTACTACTGAAGGCAGACTGTGTTTTTATAATCAAGCGTAATAGTAGCACCCTCCTGCTTGATCACCCCAATCCCTGGCTTACTTTCTAGTAAACGGCAATTATATGCTCGCCGACATTAAATGTTTTATCAACAGTGACCTAAATTATTCAGTCATGTAATTTAATTAATAATTTAGGAAAGCAGTGATCGATGACTGCCTACCAGATCAAGTAAGAGTAGACCATGGTCATGAGTTCTACTTGACCCTTTTTGAACAGGAGTCGCTGGCCTTCCTAAGGACAAATACACAGCGGGATCCTCACCGGCAAACACAATCCAAAAAGGTAAATAAAGTGTACGACTGTGAGTTAGATACGATTTGTGACTCTCCTTGACTGAAACCAAAGCTCTAAATGTGGCCTACGTAGCAAGCGTTTTTGCTAGAGGTATTGCGCTAAAGTTTGAACAATAGCAAAAAATGGAAGAAGTAGAAGGAGGGAGGAGAGGACACCTCCTGCGCATTCTTCTTTTCTTTTGCTATCGTTCCAACTTTCGTGCTACAATAACTCTAGCGTAAAAAGCTTGCAACGCAAACCACTTTGGAAGTGTAATTCATGCTTGGAGTAGTGAAACTGGAAGAATAAATAGACGAAACTAATAACTTCGAAGGTGAAAGTTAAGCGCATTTACCATTTATCCTCTATTGATTATAGAAAAATCAGATTATAAAGGATTATAGTGAGAATCTCGCTCTACTAATCACAACTTAGAGCCAGACTAGTGTATTCCTAAAATGGTCGAAAATTCTCGAGAAAAGAGTATTTGATTTTCAAAATGACCTGCCATACAGACGGCCACTTCTGCTTTTTGGTAAGAGCCCTAAAGGTGGATTTCTACTGTTCTGTAATTTTGATGTGCTTACGCATATAAATAAAATAGAAGCAATGTATAAAAGGTCGCGCGTAAACGTAAATGTTGAACCTCGCTTACGTTTTACGTATCCAAGTAAAATGTCTTGACAGTAGTGGGAATGAGCCTTTTACGACACGATCCTGAGTTATCTACAAGGAAATCTCACTGAACATTTTGCAACTTGCGTGTTCAATAACCGAATTTTTGAAAAAATCGTTTTTACAAGCAATAACGTTTACCTGCAATGATGTTAGAATACTTTGGTCAATTCTATGGTCCAACTTTTTACTATTGTAGTTCATTAGTTTGGTTTCAGTGAGGTTTATCCTCTCTTCGTTTAATAACAAACCGCGTTTTCCCTTATCCTTTAAGTCAATAAACTTGTTTCACTCACACAGTTACTAATCCGTCCACTCCTTTTCTGTTTTCGTTCTTAAAGAATCTTAGAATTGAGTGCTTCTGGGTAGAAGTCAACGCTCGCGTTAATTATCTCAATAACAATGCCTTGCGGGATATGGAGCAACGAGGTGTTATTGACATGGAACCTGAATTCACTACGTTCTATGTATCAAGTGTCACTCTTAGAGTAGCAAGAGTAGGAATGCAACGAACTGTGAACGCTTGGAACCATCACCCAATCCCGGGTATGAACTACATCATGCACGAGGTACACCACATAGTATGTAACCCGCCATTCCCTCGCTGCCCTGTCTTTTTTTATCATAAAAGAGGCAACTTGCTTAGTCTCATCTTTTGTCAGTCATTATGAACGTAGACTGAGGCAGAGCTGCAAGTAACTTTTTTTTTTCTTTCATAAGAGGTCATTCATTTGTCTGGCTAAGTAACCACTTTAGTTTCACAAAACACAAACGTGGTCGGACTTAAACGTAAATTGTGCATAGAAGATAAAGTATATCTGCCTGAATTTATGTAAACATGGCTTCAGTGAGTGTTTACAGGTCCTGCGCTAAGTCTGTTCTTGGTACCAAGACTTTGACACTCCCCACCCGGGACAATGGGTGACTGCCTGAGCCTCCCACTGAGCTCTGCAATTATCATGATAATCATTGTCAGCATAGGCCTGATTCAGCTGGCTAGGGCAAATGAAGAACAAGGTACTTGCCAGTTAAAGCCTCTAGTGAACACTGCAGCTGACTGAAGGGGTTGTGCCAAAAGAGCCCCCTCCCCTCCCCACTAGTTTTGACCCCAGG